ACTTTTGTACTAATTTTTGATGAGCTGAATCATCCCAGAACTTCGCATTTGAAAATTCGAATCGTCAAAAGTCGACAATACTTTTCATGGTATGTATGTTAAAATGTCCGCATACGTTTCGTGCGCACTGTGTACACAAAGAAATGCTTTTTTTGAAGAGAAGTTCAAATGCTTGGCACATCTCAGAGGAATTGAACGATGAGTCTTGTTCTATATCTAATTATTTCCGAGAATCTCTTCTAAAAGCTCTAACCTATTGGGAGGCACGTATTCAACTTTCATAGAATGTGCACTATACGAGTTACCTTTCCTTCCAATTGCTTTCCCATGAGTAACATCTCATTGAAAAATATATAAAATTCTGTAAAATATTAAATGGTTTCCAATGCTCAGTTCTTTATATTTTTCTTTTATAATCATGCTATAAATACGCCTGTGTCATGCGGATAAGGCTTACTTCTTATGATTAGATTCAACAGAGATGCCAAATCAAAGGATGATAAGTCGAGCCGTCTCAGCACCGGTAAAGCAAACTGGCGCTCATTCGACTCTGCTAGCGTGGACGCGGCTTCTGATGGAGCACCGCCCGCTGGGCAAAAGGATGTCCTTGGTGAGTTATTTTCCGAAAATTAACTAGTTCATCAATTCAATCTAATACCCTCTCAGAAATAGCTAATTTTATGGAGAAGGTTGATGGGCATGGTTATACACGTAGTCCTCATCGAGAGTTCAAAATTTCGGCGCCCGCCCGTCAAGTTCGAGACTATTCGACAGTATTATATAAATAGTTGACCACCATTGCGTCCTACGTCCTTGTTTCAAACTGGCCATACTGTTGCTTTCCCCAAATTTGCGGGAAAATTGGCTGTCAAAAAGAGGAGGGGTAAAACTTGGAAGGGTCAACACTTCGCGATTAAAGGAGTGCGCACCCCAATGAGCTAGTTGGAAACAAGAGTCCAGGAAAAATGGTTAGGGACTAACAGGGGAAGTCAAATATCCCGAGCTAGGCATGCACCTGAGTTTAATTTTGCATTTCTGTTCCGAGGCCTAGAAGAGGATGTGAGCTGGTTCGGTTACACTGGTGACTGGTCATAGCTGATGTAAGTAGTATAGAGCGGATATTGACCCCGTGGTTTCGATTGGTTTTGGTCGTTTTTCTGCTTTCGTGAGGAGTAGCGTGAATTAACAACGGGTAACCACATCAAGTTAAAATGACCGCTTAAATTTAAATTTTTCTCGAGTCATATTTACTTTAAATTGAACGAGGTCATGGATCTGTTTCAATATACTTAGGGAATGTTTAATTGAATCGACATACTGTATATTGTGCACATTTTTAAGCCTCTAGCGACATGCCTTCTTCTGGTCCCGGACGGCAGTTGACCGTACGCAAGTCTTCATTGAAGAAAAAGAAGAAGAAGGTAATTTGCTGAAGTATTATTTGGATTCTTTCGTTTCTCGAAGATTGGTGAACATAGATAGAATGAGATCCGCATGTATCGTAGCATAATTTCCCAGTTCAGATTCCCCACCAGTTGAGATTTCCGCCATACGTTTATGAACTGTTAACATTTTAGTAAGTGCGAATGATATCGAGAATATTAAGAGTCACTTTTTGCAGGAACAAACTGTAGTGACCATGGAGAAGCGTGGTTCAGCTCCAGTTTTGGACGTAGCCGATCCACAACAAGAAGGCGATGCTCTTGCAATGTTGGAGCATTCAGATAAGGTACGAGAATAGTGCAAGCCTAATACTGAAAAAAAGGCAAATAGATTAATATGCGGTATTCGGCGGGCATACAAAGGAGTGTATAACGTACCCCATGAAGAGGACCTTTCGCCTAGTCATAAATGCATTCCTTGTTATAAACTCCTCCCTCATGGGTAAGTTATGTTCCTACACAGAGCTATTCGAATCGATATCTAGAAGCAATGTCAACTCTGTAGTGGCACCAGGTAATGTGAAGGGTGTGCTACGTGAACCATTTAGCAGCCAAGTAATTTCGCGGCTCTCTTCGTTACCCGTATTGGGAATGACAATAGTACATTTTCTTCCCCTTTAGCGTAACCTCGAAGGTGTAACGATGTTCAACTTGTACACTGGACCTAGCCGTGTGGTCCCACCCATTTCACACCACTGAGTGCCTTCATTTCCACATACTCTGAAGCGCATGCGGTAGTAAAAACCAATAGTATTCACTTCACATGACCCGCCTGATGGTCCTTGTCACCCTTCTGCCCGTTCTCATTTCTTAGTATTGGCTGCAGCTGAAAATATGCAATAGAACCTCGATGACCTCCCCATAAAAAGAACTTCATGACTGCACATTGTTGAATAAGGCATTGAGTTCAGGTAGACGAATATTACTACGGCCTCCGGATCTTTCCGGGTCAAGACCCGAGCCTGGTATGGGTTGGATGGGTAACAACTCAGTACCATTTTTACTCTACATCATTTGAACGTGGTCGGGTTGAGCGTCGATGTGTTTACGCCGAGACTATGGGCATGAACCAAGACAGGTAAGTCTACTTCATCCTTACCAGTCATGCAAACAACATTTTCATTGTTGCTATTCGAGTGTTGATTTCAGCGTTGAATACCGTAACTGCTACATGATGAACGCTGCAGATTTGCTGTCGCACGTGCCCGACGTAGCAACAAACACCAAGGTACGCTCAGTTTCTCTCGTTTCTTTCAGTTTCCCGCAAGTGGGCGGTCAACTGTGACAAACGGGTTACTGTTCGTTGGTGATTTTCTAGGAAGGAACTTTAATGCAGGTCTCTGGAACCCTCATTGGATGTATCGTCGACACATCTGTTGGAGAGCTATCGTTTCAAGTTGCTGGACAGGATACTGGAGTGAGGTTCAAGGTGAGAATTTCATAAACATTCAAGGAGTGGAAGCCTGATGACTAATTTGGTTTTGATACCCTGGGTGGGTAATGAAAGGATGGAAACTTTTGGAGTTGATTAGTCCCGTCTGAGGGATGCCTCCCCGCATTTGAATTCTATTCAGTATCGTAATGACGTAGTGAATGAGCATGTGGCCTATCCAGCGGCTCGGGCTGGCCGGCTGATGTACAATTCAGTGCTCTTGTCCTTCCAGACCAGTCTGGCACCAACTAACCGACCCCGGAGAGATGGAAAGGTTGGTTGGCCTAGGCGGACATCATTCCAGTGTTAGAGCCCGTGACCATGCGTGTGTGGCGGTGCAATCAGGCAATATAAGCTATTTTTAACTGTCTCGGAGTGACCCACTTTTTGCTATTCTCTTGATCAAGAAAGTATATCGCTAATTCCAAGGCTTGGTCACATTTGAGGCACATCGTTTTTTCGTCGGTTCATTTTTTACCGTATACATGTGCAGAAGTAGTATAGTTTGAAGCGATGCACTATTACACGCTTGCTCCAAGGATTGAGTCCGAACTACCAAGCCAAACGAACCTTTCATACCACTAGGGTCCGTCAACATCTACCAAACAAATTGGTAGTAAAGGTTCTGTCTTTTACATCAGTAGACCGCCGCAGTTGTTTCGGAACGTTTTTACATGCAGATTACAAGCACCTGAAACAACATTGAGAAATAGGATCAGCTTCATTTATTCTGTCAGCTTCAGAGCTGATAATATTTTCAAGAAATACCGATTTCAGCTCGAACCGGGTGCAATGCTGTTCCCGGCAGCATTCTTCACTCCAACGACTGTGGAAATTCTACAGTTTGAGCTCGGACGGGTCAAGGTCAGTTGACATACTTTCAGAAGCTCGGAGAACCAGCTGCTGCCTTATCGGCTCCGATACTTAGGCACATCTATATGATAAATTTTGTCATAGATCGGCTGTAACTGCTGTTTAGTGTTTGACTGGAGAATTTGTAATGTTGAGCTGTTTTCGCCTATCCGCTCAATTGGGCGTGATTAGTATTTCTGGTGTCTAAATGGAATGAGTTTTCCCGAAATGCCATCCAATAGACTTACTTGATAATCGTTTTATAGAAGCGATTCAGAAAAAAATAGAACTCTTTACAGTACACGTTCCCGATTTCGGCGGCGATGTTCAAGTCCTGTCAGAAGTCGTTGGTGCCTTTCTGTCCGCCTCGTCTCACAGTTCAGTGTCTACAACCGGTCTACTGGGCTCGTGTACCGAACGAAACCCTCCGAACGACAGCCTTAAAGCTTAGTGACATTAGAGGTGCGTAAAGCGAATAATATGCTATTCTTCACAAGTTTTACTTTCATTCCAGATGTTGCGAGATTTTATTTTCGATATCCAGACGCTTTTAGATAGATCTTTGCATGTATTTTGGGACGACCAAGTCTTTCCTTTAGGTTGGTCTGTTCTTTGCGACGACCCCGTTCGTATCATGGCTGTATACGTACCGGAGAAAGATGAATCTTTCGACATTCTGGAAATCATCGAAAAACCAATTTTCCTGGACTTCCACCGACAGACTCTGAATCTCTACTGCAAGCTGACAAGCCATGGCAACCAAAAGGTAGGATAACTCTATTGCTACGAAGAATGGTCTTGAGAATGATGGAAATTACACGGAAATAAAAGAATCCATTGGTTAGTAGAAAGGAATACGAAATTGTGAATTCCAGACAAATACAAGACGAAAAAGGTTTTCCGAAATTTGTCCATCAAGTGCGTTAGCTAGTATGGCCTGTGGGACCTGCGGGATATACCTCAATGTTAAGATGGTCTTGAAAGGAATAACTTAAGGAAATAAAGAAATAACTTCACTCCAAATTTTTCACAAGCCTTGTTTCGTTACATTACTTGGATCCCACTTCCCCTCGTTTTCCTAAAGATCCAACCAACTTCATTTCTGGTACCTTTTCTGCAATATTATGCTTTTATGTATGTTACTGGATTCAGATCGCTTTCAGATCATAGTATTTTTTGTCAAGATAATAGTTGGGTAAGTGTAGG